GAATATAGATCTCACTTCAGGGGAAAATGAATCAATCTTTGGCTCATTGATCTCTCCCTTCGGCTTGATTTGATACCGCTACTTTATCGTCTGTATTTCCCCCAATATTCTTTGATTGGGTGTTTGAAAAAATTTCTGAACTCTAACGCCTTCCAGTTTGGCAATTATTATTTGCTTATTTATTTCAAATGGCAGGCGTTTTGATAGTTATCATTAGCCATTTAGCTGATTTCAGGCTTCACAGAGAGGAGGAGGAACATCAAAGTGACAAAAAGTCGAGAGGGGTGACAGAATAATGATTCACAGATGTGACAAATACAGACAAAAGAGCGGAGAAAAGGTGAGATGAGTACTGTGAAATGGGTTGAATATGGCATACAGTAGGGGTTGTTTGAAGTGAGAAGTCAATTGCCGGTTAATAGACTTGTTTTGCCGCATGGTGAGTATACGTTGCCCAGGGAGCACCACGTGGAGAGGTAAGTCTATCCCACACCCCCAGTTTGGCAATTATAATGGAGCTTAAAATGTGAATGAAGGAATGAAGCCAGTTACCTCCCTCCCCCAACTCCCGACATAAAATGCTCAAATTTGTCTTCAGTGCGAGACAATCCTTTAAGGAAACAGAATGGTAAAACTAAAGGAGAAAGAATATGGTCAAATGATTTTTTTTACCATTAGTACCTGCATTTGATTTCTATACATAAATCAAAAATGTATAACAAATTAGCTTGTAATTAAAATTTTAAATCTAATTAGTGAATGCTCACTGGGGACAGTTAAAATTGTTGAATGCGATGATTCAAACATAACAACCTATATATGTTATGTTATTTTAAATGTTTCATGTTATGCTATTCCCTGAAACGGGAATGTTTGAATCCTCGTTAAAGTAATTAAATTTGTGCACACAGATGTGGTTAACTTGACTTTATCGAAATGTTTGGTAACCTACCTGAGTTTGAAACATTATGGGCACTAAGGCAAAGCGTTACATTACACACACACACACACACACTTACATCCCATTTACCCACTCATCTACATAGTGACGGAGAATGTAATTAAAATAAACTTAAATTTAATCTTTGCAACATCTGGATGAGGTGTATGTGTGTGTGCGTGCGTATTCAAACTGACCTACATGTTTGGCCTAATTATAGCTCAACCAAGCGTGTACTAATATGCATCTGATGTAACGCGCAGTCACAATTATGCAAGGCTGTGCACTGATTGGTGTAGAGGCTTACCCGCTGCACCGGGAGTAAGTGCGGGCCCGGATATATGCAACAATGTTGCACGCATGCGTTGTATACTTGAATTCTAAATACTACGCTACGCAACAAGACACATCAACTTTTTTTAAGTTCTCAGGGTTTGTCTTGGGTGGTGGGTATAGGACTGGTGGGTTGGCCATATAGTGAACACTAAATTTGGAAAATTACCGCACAAATACACACACACACTCTCTCTCTAATCCTCTCATAGAAACAACAGGTTATTCGAAGTTTTGATACATTTTTATCAGGTTGATTATTCTGCTCCAAATTTTGATACATTCGACTTTGTGATTTGGACTCCATTCCATATAAAATACTCACATTTAATAGCTCCATTTTACGGGGCATAAATACAACCTCTGGTGTAATTCAATACAAACTCATATTCAGGGAGTTCCATAAGGATCTATGAATTTGCTTTTGGATTAATGTAATTACTTGATCATCTTTGGAACTTTTTTAAATAAATTAGTAAAATCCATTAATCACTTAAGAAGAAATTGTATATTAGGGTAACGAAGGCATTATCGATCATTAATTTAAAAAATATATTGCTAACTCTGTTTCCAAATACTTAGATTTTGTTGTAACTTAAACACTCTACTAAGCTTGATTGATAGTTTAAGTAATATATGTTGGAACCATACGAGAAGATATCATTTTGTTTTCTGGGACTTTGTGGCACCGACCACTGTAAATATACAACCGATCAATAAGTTTTGGAGAAAATGTGGCCAAGAAATGGGACAGTAATCTAGTTAAATAGTGAAAAACACAAGGAAATGAACAAATTTTTGTTCTACCCAAAACTTTGACTTTCTTGAAACACCTCTAAGAGGTTACAACAATTGAGAAAAGTTTTTTTCAAGTTAATGGCTTCTTAGCTCATCTTTAAAATTGATCAAACAAGGGGTATTATTTGATTTGATAGACAAGTACGTTCCTGAAGCATAGGTAATAATTATTAGAAGAAAATCCTTAATTTTTTAGAAACCTTCTGAATTTATCTCCTATTTGACAACAACAGCGAACACTGGCGTTTTCACTTGAACTATTCAATCCAAAAGTGAAATACAAAATTCTCTTTAACTGGCATGAATTTTCAGTGTTTCAAGCCAACTTTGGACTTTATTAAAATACCAAATTTATTAGTTAACTGCAATTAAGCTTTCCTTATGCAATTAGAGGAAAGATAATCTACTCTCGGAGAGCTAAAACAATACTAGAGCGAGTTGAAATTTGAATGCGCGCATTATGAGATGCGTACGTGCTAGCCGAAAATGCAGCTAGTATCTCCAATCGCCTCTAGACCCATTAACGTCTTATCCAATCAACACTCATGACTTACTTGCTATCTGCCATACGCGTAGTAAGGTGTAAGCACGTACGCGCGTAAGTAATTCCACCAACCACGTGGCACCAGGGGGGTGAGAGATGCGCGTGTATGGTTGCGCGCGTACTGGCTAATAGCGAATACGATAAGCCGTAGAGATAGATACTTAGCCATGGGGGTGGGGGAACTAATTTCTTAAAGCCTCAACTTAACTACTCGGCTGGTCATTTTTCAACTTATTCTTTAGCGATAATCATCACCAATACGTACGTGTCATGCTTTCTCTTACTACAAGTAACGATACCACGCTTACAAATAGCGATACAATGGAAAAGAACGATGCGGAAATGTATGCGTCTTCTAATTCGGTTGAAAGTGGAGACGAGAAAACTAAACGGCCTTCTCCAAGTCCTCCCATTTCCAAAGGTCCTTCTAAATCTCATCGAGTTCAAGAGTTTCAACCTCTTAAATGCCGGTGTGAAAGAACATTCGTCGGCATTGCTGAATTCGTTCTTCATGCCCAGACTTGCCCAGAATTGATGGTTTCAACCGAAAATGCGGTCGACCTTAGTTTTCAATCAAAGAGACCGGATATCAATAAACTCACAACTCTAGCAATGAGTGATGCTCTTGACTTGACAGTTCGGGGTTCTGAATCTGCCACGAATTTGGGTCAGAACGCAACAAACCCAACGTTATCCTGTCCAGAATGCAAAATAGTAACAGCCAACCACATGCAACTTCTTCGTCATTTTGAATCAGCCCATGGAGCATATGGAAACTATGCTTGCCCATGTGGAGTGGAATTTGGTTGGCTTCCTGCCTACCTGAGTCACTATCTTCTCTGCCCATTGGCAGCATCTAAGAAACCTCATTCAGGGTCTTTCGACAATAGCTTCATAAAAAAGCACATTTCAATGCAGTTCAAGCCAAGTAAACCACCGATTGTGGGCAACCAACAAACACAACCTGATCTTTCCCGGCCCTTTAAGTGTTGTCATTGTGTTAAGTCCTTTAAATCAAAGGCTCTATTAGATCAACATATGCATATTCACTACCCACCAAAATATACTTGCCGCTATTGTGCAAAGAAGTACCGATGGCCTCCAGTTTTCTACCACCATCAAAGAACCTGCAAGAAGCGTCCTGCAGTTCCAACTGCAACCTCGACTGGAAACAGTTCTGCCATCGGCAGAGCATCTGAACCAGTTCAAAGTCGTGGTTACGCCTCCAGAACAACACAAGCATCACCATATCAGTTTCCACCGATACCTCCTCCGACATCTTTACCCATTCCGCCTCCATTCCTTCTCAACTCCTCCAATCAAGAACAAAGACCTCCAAATCCCTCAAGTCTTCTTTTGCCACCTCCACCTTCATCAAATATTGTCAGACCTTGGGAGAGAAAGGAAGGAGGTGCCATCTTGAATATGTCACCCTTTCGACTCCCATCTTTTCCTCTTCCGTTAGGAGCGAATCCTGAACTTCTTCGATTTCCAGGAACACCTTCATTGCCCTTACCGCCACCGCCTCCTATGCTCCCATTCTACTCAGCTTTTGACAATCAGACTCCGAATCTCTGTTCCGAAGGGGCTAATGTCACGGACACTTCCAATTCCCCTGTCACATGCGTCTGTGGAACGAACTTCGACGGTCTCTCGCCTTATCTAAGCCACATTGCAACCTGCCCTCTATTTGGAAGAGCTTTGAGTATTCCACCTCCTCAACTAGACGATACTAACCCAGCTCTCTTCTTGGCAAATATGATCTCTGTCCTTGAAAAGTGCAAACCAGAGTTTTTTCAACAGTTCTTAAATCGAAATTCACCTCGGATAAGTCAGACACAAGGTGAGGCTTTAGATATGGCAGGCGGTAATTCATGCGACCAATGTGGAAAGGAATTCTCCTCGAGACTGTCTCTGAAACAGCATGTGGAGGGAAAGCACAGTACTGAGGGTAAGTATCAGTGTCCAGGTTGTGCGAAGCGGTATCGATGGGGAGCATCTTATTACTATCACAAGAAATCCTGTCCTGCTGTTTCAAACAGAGACGACGAAGACATTCCACTGGATGAGGTACTTGAAGGTTCACCCTCAAATCTAATTAATTCGGAGGAGAGTGAAGTGTGTTCTGCGATGCTCTTCCATTCAGCAGCAAAGGAACTACTGGAACATCAGCAAGAATTCCAAGAAACCGACCCAGACAGCAGCAATGTGAGTTCCGTTGATTAACATTACCTTTTCTGCTTCCACCTTAGTAATAATGTTTTAAAATTTATTTTTTGTTGCTTTAAAAGTGAAATCCATTTAATTTAGAACATTTTTAGGTCTATTTTTTAGATTGTATTTTATCTGTAGTTTGGTTCTTTATTGGGGACGATTTCGATAATTCTTATTCAGTTTGAATTGAAAAACGGCCTGGTTTAAAGGATTACTTTTAAAATACTTTTTTATAAAATAAAGCGGGAATAAATAGGCTCCATATTTGT